GGTGGTGAGGCACCGGAATGGTTTGCTCAGGGAAGCTGTGAATGCTCCATCCCTGGTGGTGTTCAAGGCCAGGTTGGACAGAGCCTTGAGTGGCATGGTTTAGTGTGAGGTGTCCCTGCCCATGGCAGGGGGGTTGGAACTAGATGATCTTAAGGTCCTTTCCAACCCTAACTCTTCTATGATTCTATGTCTCTGAGCTCCCCTATCTCCTGATGCCTCTTCTCCCAAAGGCTCATGTCCATAGTTTGACCTCTGGTTCAGTCTTCATTCACTGCTCACTCCTGTGGGGTGATTATTTCTCTCCTCTGCACTGGCTCTTTTGTTCCAGAAAGCCTTGGTAGCGGTGGTTTGAGATGTGTCTCATTTGGCCCCAGAGCCAGGGAATTTGGACCCTCCCGGTGGCTGGCCTTGAATCCGGCTACATGCTGGAGTGCCAGAGCTGTTCTGGAGGCTGCAACTCCTCAGTGCCACACTGCTTTAGCAATTTGGCTGTTCTCTTTGGCAGCCTCCACTTAGTGCTTTGACACCAGTTTTGATACTAAAAGCAGTGTTTGCTGGGACCATTGTTTTGATTCTTCTCTCTCTGGTACCAAACTTCTTAGTCTATAAAGCAATGCATTTCCAAGCCTCAGTAGCAGGAGTCATCTTGCTCCAGCTATGGACTCGTGGGCAGAAGATGCCAGTGGGATGCCCTGGTTGCAGCAGCTGCTCATACCAAAGTGTCTGTTTAGCAAATACAGATGGAAAATGCTGCTGTTTTCTCCTCATTGATCACTGTCCAAAGCATCTGAGGCTCCAGTAAAAGAGCCAAAAGAGAGCAAAATTGCTGTTCCCACAGCTTTGGTGCTTCCTACCACATCATGATTTCTTTAGAAGTTACCATGCTGTACTCCAGGCTCTGTGTGGTAGCTGCGTTGGCCTCTCACAACAGGCCTGTTCTGGCACAGCGGTGGCTGCAGGGGCCTGCAGCAAGCAGTTCAGCTCAGATACAGTGACATGTAGATTTCTGCAAGCCTAAGGGCCTGTTTGAGCTTTAAATATGCTTTTTTTTTTACCCTTTTCTTTCTTTCCCTGTTGCTGGTACAGGTGGCTGGTGTACTCCATGTAGTTCTCCTGTTTCAGACAGATAAAGACATCTGTAACTGTCAATACCAATCAGCCCTGTCCCTCTGCCATTTTTCTTTTGTTGTTTTACACAGACTTTTACAAGTGGCTCCTTCTCAAACTTCTGGTGAAATGAATAATGTCAGCTGAGCCAATAAATCTGTTTCCATCTGAAGGGGGAGGAAGACACCATAGGCACAGGAATGTCGCTAGAGAGGCTGAGGAGGACACGACTGTAATTAGGCTGAACAATTACAGCAATTTCTCCTTATTCCTCCTCTTCTCCCCTGACAAGGTGCTCCTCCGCTGCTCATGCATTCTTCCTGAAGGGGGTTTCCTTCAATGCTCTGCTCTTTCCAAAACCAGTGAGTCTATAGTACAGGTGGTCCTCCGCTTGAGGAGCCCTATTTATTCCCTGGCAGCTCATCAGCTCAGGATCCTGCTGCTTTATGTAGTCATCTCCTCATCTCCCTGCCCCTTTTCACAGAATCACAAAATGGTTGGGGTTGGAAGGGACCCCTGAAATCATTGAGTCCAACCCCCCTGCCAAGGTAGGGCCACCTAGAGCAGGTTACATAGGAACGTGTCCAGGCAGGTTTGGAATGTCTCTAGAGAGGGAGACTCCACAACCTCCCTGGGCAGCCTTTTCCAGTGCTCTGCCACCCACAACATAAAAAAGTTCTTCCTCATGTTGAGGTGAAACTTCTCATGTTTTAGTTTATGGCCTTTGTTCCTTGTCCTGTCACTGGGCACCACTGAAAAGAGTCCAGCAGTCCTGTCACCTGCTTTTGAGATATTTATATGCATTAATAAGATCTCCTCTCAGTCTTCTCTATCGACTAAACAGGCCCAGCTCCTGCAGTCTTTCCTTGTAAGAGAGATGCTCCAGTCCCCCAGTCACCTTTGTGGCTCTCTGCTGGACCCTCTCTGGTAGCTCCTTGTCGTCATAGTACTGAAGAGCCCAGAACTGAACACACTACAGTACTCCAACTTTTGCTCATGCTAAAACCGCATTGCCAGGAGTTATGTCAAGGTGCTGCCTGCTCTGACGGCAACTTTAGCTGCAGTGGTTGTAGGGGACATCCAGCCCTCCTCACCCCTTGGTCACAGACAGCCCTGCAACTGGAGCAAGTTGCTGCCCTTCCAGAAATTCAGGCATGCTAGACCCTGACCCCATGCTGGGAGCACTGCCCCATCTGTGGGGTGGCAGATGCAGCCGGGCATGGGGTCAGCCCTCCCCGAGCTGTTACCTTCTGCGCAGGAGCTAAGAGCTAACCACCTCTTCCTGGTGGACACCTTCCCTGGGAAACTGCTCCTGAAACCTGTCCTGGCATCAGCCGCTGCCCTGGCAGGTCGCTGTGATGGGAAACAGAGCTCTTTTTTAACAGACACAGCAGAATTGCTCTTCTTTCCAGGGCCCTCCATTTGCACCGGTGCCTAATTGCATCCACAGGCAGAAGAGCTGAGCAGAGGGATGTGCCTGAACAGCTAAGCCATGCTCTCAGGAAGCTGCTTCAATGGTGGTTTTGATTTCTATTGCTCCTCAGAAACCTTCCCTTTGTTTAAAGACTTTCACTAAGTAAATCCAGCAGGTGCCTTGCTGTTCCTTGCTGCCTTTTGGTAGCTTTCTTTTTTTGCAATCCACAATAGGCTCGCTGCTGAGAGCTCACCATGGGACACCATGGAGGGGTGCACCAAAACCTCCCTGTCCCCGCTCTTCTCACCCTCCACCTGGCTGTGCCTTCCCTGTCACAGGATTTTGTTACAGGAGATGTGGTTTTTACCTTGAGTGCAAAGCTCCTTCTTTTCAAAACCCATAAACTTGTGACTGCTCACGCAGTGTGGCCCAGCCTGACTGTGCAGCCAGGAGTGGTTTATTATGAGGAATGGTCTGTCGTCTGCTGCAGACTCGCTGCAACATAAACGTGTTGTCTGCAGGAACAACAGAGGAGCAAGGGGAGGCAGGGAGAGATTAGCTGTGAGTGGGAGGGTGAAGATATGGAGAGCGGAGGTCAGAGGAAGCGTGGGTTTGAAAACAAGACCAGAATGTAATGCCATTGCACTGTGATTTTTTTTTAAGTAAAAAGGCAGCTAAAACTGGCATGTTTTTACACAGCCAAGTGCCCATAAACTCCTTCCAGCTCTGGTAACTTACCTGTATCAGGTCTGTCACCCACCTCCTGTCACTACAGCTCATTGGGGCATTGGAAGAGCACTGTGGTGGCTCTGGGTTGCTTGTTCCTCACCCGTAGGATTGTGAATAGAGGTTGCTATTTTATGAGATTTGGAGTAAATTGAAGAAAAATCAGTGGGTCCTTGTCTGGCTGCTGACCAAATCAGAGCCTCACTTTGGTGTAGGAATCCTTAGAAGGGGTTTTAAGTACTGAATATTTGTATATGATTTTGTAAGCTCCACTGCTTTTACCCCTAATCTTTCTCACTTGCTCATGCTGTGCATGCAGAGGCAAGGAGGGACGATAATGGACTTGCAGCTGTACTTGCTGTTCCCATAACAAACGTCAGGATCCTCACATAAATTATTTGAATGTGTAACACTGCTCTTATTTCTTAACGATAAGGGCTTAGGAGCTGCCCTTTTCCAAAATGAAAGAAATGAACCAACTGTTATCTCTTTGTTTTAAAAAATGATCCCTACACCTACAACAACCAAAAGCCATTACAATGATCCTTAAAGGTCTTGCAAGCTTTTATGGGAGAGATATTCCACACACCAAGCCTGGCTTCATGCCCTTTCCCTCTCCCTCTTCCCAGCCCATATGGCTTGCTCTCTCTCGAGCATCTCGGGCTCCTAGATACAGCTGAGCTGAACGAGCTTGCCCTGGAGGACATGTCAGGGGTCAGACATGGAGAGAGAACACCTTTGCATACTGTGTCTAAAGCCAAGTGCTGTCGATCTTGCTGCAGTCCCAAGTGCACCCATCATCAATTATATATCTATACTCAGTGTTTACACAGGTTTCTTGTTTATCATGAAATATTTAATTCAAGGCTCTGCATCTGGTGTTAGGCCCAACAGTAGTGTCTATTGCTTATGCCGAGAAAATAAGACTTCACCATAACCTTTTGGTGCTACAGCACAGATGTATTAGGTGGCTTGCACTGGACTCGTGCCAAGCCATAGTGAAAGGCATGCTGACTCTTGCCTAGACCAGTGAGCACAGCAGGAGTACACTAAACTTGAAAAAATCTGAGTCTAAAGAAACAAACCTCTCTTTGTATAATACAGTAATAGATCTGGTTTATGGAGGTAGTAGGAAGAAGTGAAAAACACCACATTAGTTTGAGCAGCCTATACAGACACATGTACGTACACACAGAGATTTGCACTGATGAGGCTGAGGTAAAACATATGATGATGTGAAGTTGGTTACTGCCATCCCAAGACAGAGCTCAAGCCCTTGGAGCTGATTTCATGACCTCTGAAGCAGAAGGCCTAAAAACTTAACCCATTGGATTTTTTCTTAGCCCTCCTACCTTAAACACGCTTATGTAGGCTAATGCATGCACCTATTAACTTTCCCACTGTCAACTGCTGTTAGTGTAGCTGCTTAACACCCTGCTAGGAGGGAGATGGATGGGCTCCTCCAGATGTTATCTTGATGCTGCTTTTTTTAGTTCAGCCCTGGGGGATGCATATCCTAGATGTCTCTCCTGTAGCTGTGTGTGCCTGTGCAAAGCAGTCTGCGGACACTCTCTCACCTCAGATTTCCAATTTAACAATACCCCATGCTATTCTGCAGTATATTAAGTAGAAATAATGCCTTCCCCAAAGTAGATAAGCATAACTGCTTCCCAGCTGGGGAAAAAGAGCCACTAAGGGCTTCAATGATATTGGCTGAACCAGCTACAGAGGTGTGAATGGCTCCCAATTATAAGAGCTGCCAGTCAGCCCTGTGCCTAACCAAACAAATCACGGCTTAAGGTAGAGTGGGTGTGGGGAGGTGCTAGGAGTGGAGGGGAGGATAAGGGAAAAAGAAAGAAAGAAGGCAATACATGAGAAGAGCAAGGCCTGTGAGGGCAAAATCCTTGTAAATCTCTAGATGCTTCATGAACTAACCAAATGGCTGCTAACGAGACTGACTATCTTCAGTGCATTCTGTGTCAGGTACTTAGAATTGCTGTGTTTTAACAATGTATTTTCCTGCACAAGACTGTAAGGAGATAGTCAACATCAGTATGCTGCATGTAGTAGATGGTGGGTAGATTTACTCAGGTCTTTGGGTGGCAAGCAGTGGGAACATTTTATATTGTCCAGGTAGGAGCTAATATTAATGTATTTTTCACTGTCTTCCCTTGAATTTATCACAAAATCAGTCTGTGGAGGAAGGAGGGGAGAGAGATATCTAGAGCCAGTACAGATGGGAGGCATGGCTGTGTGATAAGAAGTGAAAGATGCTGACCAGGACCAGGCCACACATGAAGGGCTGGTTGCCCTTCCTGACCCTCCCTAACTGTGAAGAAAGACAGACCTCAACAGGGCTGTGGTTGGAAGGGAACACACTCTTTTCCGCTCACATCTGTGTGTGAGTGCTGTGAAACTGTGCGGTACCGCCTTCCATAAGAAATTTCCTGTTGGCAAGGAAGAGAAGTGGGATTTGTTTGGTCCTGTATGGAGCTGCTTGGAGTGGTGTTCCCACTGCTGAGTTAGATAGTTGGGTGGAAAGTCTTCCAGCTGCTGGACACCTGCTGCTGGAGCAGCTCCACCTTCCCTGCTCAAGAAAGCAGCCTGTCTTAGAGGTACAACCCATTGGTGGTGACAAGCTCTCATGGGCCGAAAGCATTTCCAAAACCTAAGTGTATTCTGCTGTGCTGAGGTGTTGCTGCTTCATGTGATTCATTTCTGAGCTCTTATTGACAACTACCCTAAATTAAACCAAATAAGTTGCTGGTGAAAGCAGAGGGTTGTTTGACGTAACCAAGGGTGTTTTGGTGGTGGAGGGGAAAGAGATGCTGTGTCCTGACCCAGACCTTGCTCCTGCTGCTTAACCTGGGCCTGTAATGGGGAAGAGGAAGAGCAGCAGTGCCCACCAGTGCTGCTCTGAATATCTTCATGTCTTCTGGAGTCTCAGCACAGCGCTGCCCTGTACCTAACCCCTGTGCAGCCAAGGAGAGAACCCGCTGTGTTGTGAGGATACACACCTGTACCAGCCAGAGCAAATAAGGTGGCTTCTCAGTGTGCTCAGCCCAGATCAGAACCCTTCAAAGCAGCAGGGAGGAGGATCTGGCTATGCTGGCGTGGCCCTGGGGTGGTGCTGGGTTGCTGTGCCTTGTTTTCATGCACACACAGTCCTGGTTGTGCCTTGGGGGTGGCCAGTTTTGGCAGGCAGGAGAGGGGAGGAGGGAAGCCCTCTCCTGAGTGAGCCTCTCAGGCTTGTGCTGACTCAAAGGACTCTGTGGTACGTGTCTGGTGAGGAGCTGTCTGTCATTTGGGAGATGGGTAGTCATCGTCACCCACCTGCACCTCCCTGGTGTTTGCACAACCACCTCATCCCCAGGCTGGAGGAGGTGAAGGCTGGGCAAATGTCCTTGGATGGACCTGTGATATACTGAGCACTGCACCATGCTGTCCTGTTCAGGCACTTCCCATTGCCTAACTGGAGTTGCTGGGGATTGCATGTGCTGTCCAGCAGAATATGAAGCAATATGATAACAACTGTCATGTGTCTCTGGTCTTTCCTCTTCTCCCTGAAACATGTCTGGACAGAATACCTGGGTTTGCTGTCACAGAGAAGAGCATATGCAGATGTGTGCAGGTGGACCCTTGACAGCACATGCTTAGAGGAGACACAATCAGTGCCTTTTGCGTGTAGCTGGGAAGGGGCAAACCTGGAGGCTTGGAGGCATCACCAGCACCATCCCATTCCTCTGTGATCTGAAGCCAATAAGTAAAAACATGGAGGGTGTGAGGCCAGCATTTATTTGGTTTGCATGGTGGATTTTGCTGTTTTCTGAGATCAGGAATGCCACCTGCTCATTCGCATCCTCTTGCGCAGCTGCACCTCTCTGTCCCAGCCCCAGCTGCCACAGCTTAGCTTTGCCTCAAAACACATTCTTGTGCTGGGTGCAGTGCCTCTGTGCTCTTAGATGGAGATTGGCTTTTAGCTGCCTCTCTCTGCATGGCATCTGCTTCCCTCTGCCTTTTTAATCCTCTGCATTTTCCACAACCTAAAATAAACCAGTAACAAATCTGGGATGCACTCCTCCAGCCAAGGGGACAGACCTGATGTGGTGCTTTGCACCTACTGTGATTTCTGCAGCAGTCCTTCTTTCTTTTTTCCCTTTTTTTTTTTTCTCCTTACACAGAAGGCTCATGAGAAATGTATTCTTGTGTCAGTAACATTCAAAGGCGAAAAGAAAACCTGCCAGAAGAGACCCTTAAAAGTCTGACATATTATCATTCAGAGGAGACTTTTCAGTAGAATTATGCTGGAATTTTTCCAATAAATAAATTCTACAGACTTTTAAGGGAGAGCTTTTAGATTAATGGAAATATTACTTGAATTAAAATTCATCCCATTAAGCCATCAATTCCATTGTCATTGCAGCATCATGTGTTTAATGTTAATGACATGCATAAATAAAAAGGAAGAAATCTATTTGTTTTCTTGTGCCAAAAGCTGTGAGTATGGTCTGTTGTGGAAAGTTAAGTAGAAGCCAGAGTGGGCACAAGGCAGGATCAGCAGAGACGTGGTTAAAAAGCAGTTGCAGAAGACATATTGCACAGTACTGGGTATGGAAATGCTAAGAATCGTGTTTGGCCTTGTATTTTCAATGAATTGATTTTTACTTTGCTTTTGTCTCTTAGTGACTTCAGGAAGGAGCCTTCTGCAGTTTATAGGCTCTGTCCCTTTGTTTTTGGAGCCTCACAGAGAGGAGACTGGATGCCAGAGTCCAGCTGGGACATGTCCCAAGCTCTCTCTTGTGCCAAGGAAATAGGGGGCAGCTTGGAGGGGAGCTGCCAAATTCAAACCAAGTCTTGAGCTCTTTGCACTTCCAAGATGAGCTCTTACAAAATTAGGTTTCATGCCACATGCATGAGGACCTTCTGCTTCCAACCAGGCTGGACTACCTGAGGGACATCACTCTGGGCCTTCCGGAGCCTCTGTTTCTCATCCTGGCAAGGGGACACAGGCAGAGGGACAGGTGAGTGAGTGAAGGGAAAAAGCTAACTAGCGGCTTCTTCTTCTGCCTTTTGATATGATTTATGCTAGATTGGAATGGGGAAGGCAGCAGAGAAGTTTTCTGTGTTTTCTGGTGTGTCACTTGTCAGCAGGTGACAGGGCTCTCGCTAGGATGGATGTGAGCTGACTGATCTCCCACTGCAGTGGTTTTTGTCTCAAGCCATCCACTGTGGTGCAGGTGTGTGTCCTCAGGGGTCGCCTCAGGTGTAGGATCTGATGCTGGTGCCTGGAGAACGGGATGACAGAAGCAGCCCGGAGAGCAGGTGGGTCTCCAGAAGATGGGAAGGACCGTGTCACTCCTGGAAAGTGTGGCTCCTAGCAGCAGGTCCGTGGGGAGCAAAGAGGGAATAAGGTAGCCCATGTGAGAGCTGCCACATCACAGCCACCAGTGCTGCATTGCATCCCTACACCTGAGAGTCTGCTCTGGCTTCTTACTACAGCTGGTGTGTTGCAGAACACTGGGGTGCCTCGTGGTTCTTCCACATGTTGCTTTGGACAGCCTGGATGATATCCAGGTGCAGATAGCCCTGGGGATTTTCCCTGAATCTTTGCTAGAAAGCAGGTGGGTTGGCAACACAAGAGACAGGGTCCAACATTTAAGTCACTACTTATAAACACAAACACCACAAAGTTCAAGTCTGAAGACTTTATATGGGCTTGAGAATGATTTGAAAGTGCTATCTAAATGTGATGAACTGTACTATATTAGTGACTCAGTTGAGGCTCCAATTCATAGACTGAAACATGTTACTCAGCAGGGTAAGTCAGCACAGAAAGGCGAGAGGGATCATTGTCCATTGGTATCTTCCATACCCATGTCAACACCCAGTCACAATAGCTCCAGTAACAGCAATTCAAGTGATAGCTACTTCCAGCTTTTAAGACAAACCAGCCATTATTGCTGACATAGGAGCTGCGCTTCAGAATGCTCCATCTACCTGTGGAAAGAAGTGAGCAGGTTTATCTGCCTCTTAGGGCAGGTTCTCCTTGCTGCATTTGTCCTTTACTGAATGAGAAAGGGTCTTAGGGCAGGATGGCTAGTTCCCAGTGGAAGGCTATATGTACTGCAAGGTCTATCCTTAGCCTCCCACAAACCTGGGAAAGTTTGACCTGGAGCTTGTTCCATCATTCCTGACTTCTTGGTCTGTGCAGCAACATGTTGGGAAAAGTGCTGGATCAGATTTCATGCTCCTCTGGGGCTTGGGGAATGTTTGTGGCAAATGGAGAAGAGTCAGTTTGAAGCCTGAGGTGGCTTTAAGTGAACAGAAGACACAAGTAGGTCACTAGCACATCCCTGGGTTTCTTATGTCCTCTTCTCAGGCTTTGCTATGCAAAATGAACAGCACTTTTCTTGCTGAGACTAAGAATACCTTCCAGGCCAAGTTCCAAGGTCAAGCCATCCATTTGGCCTTCTCCGTCTATTTAAATTAATCGTCTTCAGCATGAACTTGAAACAGTGCAAGCACGTTGTCTGAGCATGTTTTGAGAGCAGCTTCAGGAGCACTGAACATACTGTTACTTGTACAGAAGCAAGGTTCCCAGACATTTCCCTGCATTTGCTATTTAGGCTTAGTTACCACAGGGCTTCCTAGTCTCTCTCTTGTTTCCAGATTACTTCTTTGCCACATAACAAGTATTTGTTTTTCACCAGTAGCACAAAAAGTGTTTTCCCTGGATTCTCTTGAGTGTTCCTTGCTTGTGGTCAATAAAACAGAAAATCACAGAGACTGCTACGTGTTATCACAGCTACTGTTCTATAGCTTGATTTCTCATTCTCCTGAGGTAGGGGTAAGCTTTCACTCAGGGGCACTGGAGTTCATGTCCAGTGGATTTTGTTACTTTTTTCTGCCTTTAGCAAAAGGTTAAAGGCCTTTCTCCACATTCTTATGAAATTGTTATTGCTTTCATCTTTCTCTCCTGCTCCCCTCACATCCTCAGTCTTGGTTCAAAGGGACCTTGTGCCAGCAGACTTCATACCTGGTGCAACCCAGGGACAATTCACTCCCAAGGAAAGAATGGACAATTTGTACTGCACCATCATCACCAAGGCTTCCTGCAATGGAAAATAGCTCAAGGTTTCTGAAGCTCCCTTCTCCCACAACAAAATTAGCCTGTGGGCAGATGTACAATCAGCGCATCTCTATTTGTCTTGGCTGTGAGCCGCCTGCAGCCAGTAGCGTTGTCTTTGGGAAATCAGTGAATTGCTTTGTATTACACTCCGCTTCCCTGCTCTCGGACTGTCTGCTTTGCAGGACTGTATGCTTAGTGCAGTCCCAGGGTAAATTTTGTCCTTTCCTTTTTAGCAGAGTCTTTTATCCAGATGGCTCCTCTTTTTTGGCTGTGATTGCCATTTGCCACATTGGTAACAAAGGCCTGCTTATAGGCCGGTATTGGTACATATGTACTGTTTCTCATTTGGGAAATGGGCATGGAATCTCTCCTAGAGGAATCCTGAAGAAAATATGTTAACTTATCATTAAATCACAGAATGGTTTGGGTTCGAAGGGACCTTGATAATCATCTAGTTCCTCTGGTCTCTATGATTAGTATATGTGATTACTGCATGTCAACCAGGGAGATGTATGTAGCAAGGCAGAGTAGAATGTTAAGATGGCCCTTCTAGCTGTGAGACAACTCATCATTAACAAATGCTTGGTGGTCACTTTGATCTGAGAGCAGGGAGGGGCAGACCTTCCTGGTTCGCTATAAACACCAGTACTGTCTTTGAGAAGGAAAATGCCTCCTGGGGGTCATGAAGCAGAGTGAGCTTGATGTCCCATGGGGGAAGAGTTTGGAGGCTCTATCCAGTATGCAACAGTCACTTGTAATCATTTCTAATCCAATGAGGTAATAAGTAGGTATGGACTTCTGCATGCATTTATTGGTCTGAGGGGATACCACTGGCAGAGATAAAGCAAGAGACAATATTTACCAGAAATAAACGTTGACATTTATGGAAACCTATAATGTGTGCTCACATCTATTTTGAATGTTTCCATGAGAGCTACCTGGGAAGCCTCCATTATGACCATATTTCCTAAAGGGTAATAATTTTTTTTCCCTTAAGCTAATATTCTAAAGGATAGATTAAATTAAAGGTTCATTTAAAAACTATTTCTTTTCTCCTGGAAGGTGAATAATATTTTTCACTTACACTGCTGCAGTCTATCATAATGTGTTTATTTGCAATTGTAATTTGGTTATCTGGTGTTACTCCAAACTCAGTATTATTCATTTCTGATGAATAAAGAAAATCTGGGCCCTGGTCTTTTACATTAATCTCATAAATTAATCTCACTGGATAAAACCTCCCTCCATTGATGTTGATACTAAAACTGCCATTGATGTCATTGGGACCAAGTTTCACCTGCTATTTGTATGCTTAAAAACACATCTGAGGGTTTGCAGAATGTGTATTTTACTGACCTGCTATGCCACAGGCTCTCCTCATGTTCAGCCAGCAACTCCTGTCCTCCGATAGTCAAGTGGAGACCCCAGGAGAACAAACCTGTTGGAAAAAATCAAAGTCCTGTTACAAAAATCCTGAGAGTTGAACAGGTTAAAGCTTTGAGATTTAGGCTGTCCACACCATTTGCACGTGATGGTTACTCAGGGTCAGTGTTTCCCTGTGCAGTCAAGCAGGGATTGATTTTTGTTTGTATAGGTCTATCTTGCAGCAACAGAGATAGGCATTATAAACATGGGAAAATCTGGTATGGAAAAGCTGGCAAGGGAAACTGTTCAGTCTTTTAAGACTAATATTATGCATGCATTTAATGAATAGTATATTATGTAGCCTAGAAAAAAAAATTTATTGAAACGTATCAGAATTGTGAAGTGAAACATTGGGCTATGGATGGCTGATATTTCCCGAGTGAATAAATATCTTTTGTGGTTGGCATGGGTTTATTTTATCTCTTCTTTTGCACTCTTGCTGTTCAGTAGGGGAGTTTGGGTTTCCTGGACTCTGAAGAAGATCAGTCCTTTTCTCTCTGGGGCATTCTCAGCAGAGCATCTTCATCCTGTGCATATTCACAGCTGACTGGGTGCGCTGAAGTGCTCATATCTTTTTGTTTCCTGAAAAACTTAGATGTAGAGAGTTAAAATCAAGAAAAGGGGCTCAACTAATTGAGCAAGTCCCTGCAGGGTACTGGAGGACCTTGCTTTTGTTGAAATTTCTTTGAGCTTTGTGGTGTTAGTCTTTTCCACCTTGAAAGTTAGCCAGATACAAGAGGCCGCTGATAGTTTTTGCTGAAAGGAGAAAATGGTTGGTTTGTAGTTTGTTTGGGGGTGTGTGTATGGGATGTTTGCTTGTTTTTAACACAGGAGGGGCTTCTTTACAAACACATACACATCCTGACCTAAAGGAGACCTAAAGTGTCTTTGCATCCAGATTTCTGCCAGGAATACTGCAAAATGGCTTTTTTTTTCTTTATTTTGCCACCTTTTTCTTCCCCCCTCCATTCTGGGCATAAATTCCCAGTTCTTGTTTCCATTTTTTATGTTCTGAGCTTCCCTGAGTTATTACCACTCTGCTGCAGAAACAAAGCAATAACCGGATAAGCTCTCCCCTTTGCACCTGTATTTAGGATGGAAGCAGGGAAGAGTCCTTCGCAAGGGCTGTGCCTGAAGGACAGCAACTGTATCCAAATGCAAGTGTCTGTGCACAAAGTGAAGATGGTTTTCCCTCCACTTCCAATAGCATCTGCCTGGTCTGCAAATTAATCTTTGGATTCCTGAAGATGGGCACCCAGAAAATGAGGTACAGACAGTGGCAGAGTGTGACAAATTTAGATTAGGAGCAATCTGTCACAGCCAGGGATGGTATCCATTTCTGAACTCATGGGCAACAAATACTCATTGACATTAGTGGGAGCACAATGGGGTCCGGCTTGTCCACAGTTACTATATTAAATCACCTGTAACTTAAAAGGCCTTGGATGAAATTTATTATTCTGCACC